ACCAAGGGCTAGCACCAGTCACTATGGACTGGGAGGCCTGGAAACTCACTTCCAGGTTCTTGGGTAGATGGTGGCTGTGGTATAGATCTTGGCCACGGAAGAAAAGGAGGACGAGACACCACCAGCTCACAGCCACAGCTTCTGCGGGGTCTGCAGGGACCCTCATTCCCCCAGCTGGTGGGCAGGCCCCAGACAGACCTGGATTCAGCATTATGAGAGATAAGCACCAGTGCAGGGCAGCAGGGAAGGGGCTGCAGGGCCTCTGCCTCCGCCTCATGGGGCGTGCCCGTAACTCTTTCACCACCGCACTCAGCCTCTGAATCTCTGGGAACCGTCTGTTGGCTATGCTCCACTGCTGGGGAAACAGCTTTCTTTGGTGTGGGGGCTAAAGCTGCAAAGTGGGCTGAGGGTGTGGTACATAGTACATGGGTTCTGCCTTGGGCATGAGAGCAGGCAGAACTGCTGGGCCTGGCTGGCATGCACCAGATGCCGGGCCTGTGCTGTCCCGTGGGACTCCTGCTCTGGGTTTTTTTGTTTGTTCCTAAGACAGGGTCTTGTCATGTCACGATCCTGCTGCCTCAGCCTCCCAGCTGGGACTGCAGGGTCATGCCACCAGGCCTGGCTGTTTTAGACCATCTCACTCTGCCGCCAGGCCAGCCTTGAGCTTGTGGTCAACTTGCCTCGGCCTCCTTAGTCACTGGGATTACAGGCACCAGCCTTTAGGTTGGACTGGGGATCAAAGCCGGGCTTCCCATGCAGTCCCAGCCTGCCGAGGACAGCGTCTTAGCTGCACACGCCACTGGGGTTGGGCCACATCCCGGATTTTAAGCACTAGAAGAGCCAAGGTCCCAGCCCTGACCTGTGCCTAGGGCAACCACAGGCCTAATCTGCAGGGCTTGGCTCCAGCTGTAGCGAGGGAGGCCTGGGAAGCGCCCAGCACGCACACTCCACAAACACAAGGATCCTTGTTCTCAGTTGTCTCCCGGCACAGCCAGAAGAAAGCCAGGGTCTCGGGGAAGAATGCCAGAGAAGACACAGGCCTGCTTGTGCTCCAAAGGGGTTTTAGAGGAGCATTTGGAGTCTCTTGTATTAAAGAGAGACAATGTGTTCAAGCCCAGTATTTTCCTTTAAAAGGTGCTCTTCAAATACAGAGCAGGCAGGATTTTAGAAAAGCACCCTCCAGGCCCCCTGGGTGCTCCCCACAGATGTGTGAGGGTGTGGAGTGGCTGAGGACTGCTGGCCCAGAGGGTGCCGCGGCGGGGGAGATGCCTCTCAGATGCAGCACACAGAGGGCTCCCCCGTCTGGGGACAGCTGGATGACCGTGCTATGGACTCCCAGCCCAGGCTGGCCCTGCGACGTCCTGGTGTGGGTCCCCGAGTCCACATCTGTGAGTGGAGCCCACCGCCCTGCCTCTGCCCCCTGACTCAGCTGACCCTAAGGAGAAAGGAGGCAAGCCCGGGCATCCCACAGGACCTGACGGCCTTCTGCACTTCCTTGCAGACCCTCTCCCACCACAGCAGCTCCGCTCTCCTCGGTGCCCACCAGGACGTGGCCAGTGCAGGGTCCTCTGCTTCCTCCTGCCCCCGCTCTCACCTGGGTCTCGTTTAGCCCAGTATGTTTTCACTCAATCCAAAAGGTGATGGGAACCAGCCAAGCCACCCGGGAGGGGGCGTGGAGGGGCACTGTCACTCTGTCCCTGTCTTGCCAAGGACCAGGCCTACCTTGAGTCCCTGGTGATTCCACTTGGCTTCCTCAGGCACCTGGGAAAATTCTCTTGCTATCAAGTTCTCCTTGGTCAGGAGGTTGCTGTTGAGATGCTTGCAAAGCCACATTGCCTGAGGAGGAGGAGGAGAAGTGTGTGACCTAAGGAGAGTATGGGGGGGGGGGCTCTTCCCGCCTGGGGGCCCGGGGGGGGGGGGTCTCTTCCCGCCTGGGGGCCCTCACTCTACCAGGGAAGGTTGCCCCCAGGGAAGCATCTTGGTAAACACCAAGATGGCTGTAGGAAGGCCACCAGGGGGTTAACAGCTGAAGACCCAGCCTCAGGGTTCTGCTCACAGACCCCCTCCTCTGCTGACCCTGGCTCTAGGCTGAGCGAACCCAGCTAAGGCTGAGGCTAAGGCTGAGCCTCCGGCTGCGCTCGGCGTGCCGAATTAGAACAGGGGACTTGGGGACAGGGTCTAAACATGGGCCACAATGTTCATTTTCTTTCTATTCTTTTTTCTTATTGTTTGTTTTGTTTTTTGCCATAGGGTGTGTGCACTCACCAGAGAGAGACAGAGAGATGGAAAGTGAGAAATCACACCGGGGGTGGGGTGGGGGGGGGACAGTCACACCGCAATCTCTTCGCCTCCATTCTCCTCTCAGGATTTTGGGTATGTGCACATGCACCTGACATAATTTTTTGAGGAGCTAGGTCTGGGACTCAAACCGCTGTTGGCCATGTGGGAGTCCAGTGCCTAAACCACCATGCCACCTGCTGGCCCTAATGTTCATTTTCTTAAAGACTAGGAGATGACAAATTCTCTCAGGTCAGCTGAGTGTTTAGTTCATAGGTGACTAGTCTATGAGGGAAGTCTGAATTTTAAGGAAGAAGTCAATAAAATGTTCCTAACCCCTGAATTATGCAGACAGCCACTCAGCTTCAGGTGATTCCAAAGGCTGTCCCCGCCCCCAGGTGACAACTGTTCTCTCTGTCCTCTGCTGGGAAGCTTCAGTGGCAATATCAGAAGAGGCCTGTTTGGATTAGTGTTGCTGTCACTTTGTAAAGCCAGGGTCTGTCCTTGCATAGTGCCCTGGGCTGAGAACAGCCATCTCACGGGAGGCATACAGCTGAAGCCCTGGTGGATAGCCCAGCCAGCAGGGAGGACAAACCCCAATACCTTGGCCACATGGGGACTTGACACAGGAGGCCACAGTCAAGAGTCTGCTCCACCCTGCACTTCCCACCGAGGGCCAGAGAAGAGCCAGGACCAGCCACCAGGCAAAGGTGGCCCTGAACTGTCGAATGCCAAAGACCAAAAGAGCCCCTCACGCTGTAGTCCAGGCTGCCCTGGGCACAGCCGGGAAAGCCTGCCTGCCCAAGCGCAGGATCAGCTGCCCTACTTCCTGACGACGACAGTCACCTGGGGAGCGTTTTCAGCTAGTTTTCTGGGCCCCACCCTGGAAATACCATGAGGTCGGCTGGTAAACTTGGGGTTTTCAAAGCACAGGGATGGCAGATCTGGAAGCCCTTGGTCTCTAAGAGTGAAACAGAGCAGCTAGATTCGGCCCAGTGACTACAGAAAGGGGTGGGTGGGGGCTGACGGCTTGACCTGAGGAGTCAAATGAACACTACAGAGAGAGCGACAGACAGGGGCAGGCCAATGGGGCAGCCATGCTGACTCCAAAAGAAGGGCGATGCAGGTTATTTTATGCAAGGCCAGCCATCTCAACTCCTTTTTCTTTTTTTTTTTTTTTTTTTTTGGGGGGGTTTTTGCTACTATAGGGCATGTGCACTCACCAGAGAGAGAGAAAGCAAGAAATCTCCCCCCCCCAGGCGGGATGGTCACACTGCAATCCCTTCTCCTCCATTCTCTTCTCAGGATCTTGGGCGTGCATACACATGCGCCCGACGTGAGTTTAAGTCGCCGGGTCCAGGACTCAAACCGCAGTCGGCTACATGGAAGTTCAGTGACATAGCCATTACGCTAACTGCTGGTCCCTCTCAACTCCTTTTTGAAATAAAGCAAGTCCAGTTCATGGGGAACCGTCTGCCTATCACTGTCATACTGGCCCGCGATGCAAACTCTGAAACTCACTAAGGAAGGTCTTGCCGCTGCTCACTACCTAGCTTTTAAAAGACAAGAAGAGAGGTCAGCAGGTGGCATAGTGGTTAAGATGCTGAAGTTCGGGAACCAGCAGTTAGAGTAATGGCTATGTCGCTGGACTCCCACGTAGTCGACTGCGGTTCACGTCCCAGGCCCGGTGGCTTAAAACTCACGCCGGGCGCGTGTGCGTGCGTGCCCATAGATCCCGAGAGGAGAATGAAGGAGAAGGGATTGCGGCGTGACCATCCCCCCTGGGGGTGAGGGCAGGCCCCCTAAGGAAAAAAATCCCCCTAAAAAAAAAAAAAAAAAAAAAAAAAAAACAAAAAAAAAAAAAAAAAAAAAAAAAAAAAGATGCTGAAGTCCTACATGGCTGACTGCGGCTCAAGTCCTAGACCTGGTATCTTGCTTTCTCATTTTCCTTCTTTCTATCTCTCTCTGGTGAGCACATATGCTCTATAGAAAATTTTTAAATAATAATAATAATAAATAAAACTGAATAAATGATTCTTTAACAATTAAAAAAAAAAGGGCAGGAAGAGGTCTGTATCAGATGATTAACATTTAGCGCACTTTGATACTTAAGGGCCAGCCCCACAGCCAAGTGTTTAAGAGATCCAGATTCCACATGGCCGACCACATTTGAATCCCAACCCAGCTTGAAAAAGCACACCAGGCATGTGTGGGCACACGTGCCCGAAATCCGGGTGCAATGGAGAATGCAGGAGGGGATGGCAGCGTGACCATGCCCCATTAGAAGATGCTCTCCCCACTCCCCATGCGTCCCCACCGCATCTCTCTGACAGGCATGCATGCCATCTGGCCATGAAAGAAGTGGACCCTGTGGGCCAGCTGGTGGCCCGGGGTTTAAGGCAGCTAGACCCCATGTGGTCAACTACGTGGTTGGCGTCTCTGATCCAGTGACTTGAGGGGCATGCTGGGCACATGTGCATGTGTGTCCAAAATCCTGAGAGGAGATGAGAAGGGGTTGCAGTGTGTATGTCCCCTCTGGGGGTGCTTCCTCACTTTCTCTCTGTCCCTTTCTCTCTGGCAAGCACACACAACCTATAGGAAAAACGAAACAAAACAAAACAAAACAAAACAAAACGGGCCTTAAAGATTGACACCATAGATGAAATGATGTGTACCAGAGAAAAAAGAAGTGGGCCGAGGTATTTGCTGAACCTTTAACATTGTCTTTTCTCTCCAATGAAGAGAGGTGCGCAAAGCAAACCCGGGAGTTGCACACGTGAACACCCAGAATATAGTTTCTGTGCGTTTCTGCTCGTGGAAAAGACATCACAGTTAAAACTGTAAGAGAGAATCTTAAGGTCTCACAGCACAAGTCTCTGGAACGAGTCTGCTTCTGAGCCGGACTTCGACTTCTAGAAATTCACCCCCAGGACACAAGTGAGGGGTGCAAAGACCGTATGCGGGTAGGCACGAGAGGGCTTGGGAAGGCATATCCCTATGTGTTCAAGTCATGCTTCCTTCCATCAGCGGGGGTTACACTTTTGTGTTCTGGGCTTTCCAGGCTTTCCACCATGAACACGCACACCCTCTCATAAAAGGTGGAGGGAAGGAGAACAGCTCAGGTCTGTGAAAGCGCACCGAGGTGGAGTCTGATCCCAGCTCCGGAGAATAAATGAAGTATTACCGCGTTACCACACCTAACATGATGCACTCACTTACTATAGTTGTTTTCCCCGAGGCAGGTGGACCTAATATTACAATCTTCGGCACTGTGGGATAAAAAGATACGAATGTCACCACTCAGCATGGCAGAGCGCCTCCCCGGTCTGCAGTACAATGGGCGTACTTGTTTCTCTCCTCCCCAGATTTCATCTCTGCCAGTGACACGGCCATCTGTAACCCGGCGGCTCAGAGAAGCCCTCGCCGTACAACATATTCTCTGTGTTTAGAGAGGTAAGTGATCACAGAGATGGTTTATTTTTCTATCTCCAAGGGGACATGGACACGGTAACTTGTTTGCCAAACGAATAAATATCAAAAACAATTGGGCTTTCAAACACCATAAAGCATTTTAAACAGGGACTTTGTCTCGGGGAATGCTCTGTCAAATAAAGCTGTATTTTATGTAAATCGACCTTCGAAGCTTTTCTTATATTTATGCTTTTTTAGTTAGCAAATTGTATTCCCCCCTCATTTTATAGCAGGAAATAATGGGAAAGCCTGGAGCGTATGGTCCAGATTTATAAAACCCATGGTAGAAAAGTCTTTGTTTTCACACACGGGCATTTCTATGCAGATGGAAAAGGCAGGCGGCTGGTTGCATGGTTAGAGTCCCAGTTTGGGAATGTTGCTGGCCCTGCAGAATTCCTACCAGCCACCAGACTACTAAGTAGGTACTGGCGATTGGACAGGAGACGGCTATTGCCGCGAGAAGCATGCTGGAAGGATCTGGACCCACAGGGGCCCAGCGACTGCTGGCCAAGCTCACACTGCCCCTTCCCCCGCTCTGGGAGTGAGTGAGCTTAGCCTGGCTCCGACCCACGAAGACGGATGAACAGATGTTGGCCTCCACTCGCTGAGCCTCTGATGTCTGCAGGTGGAGCGCACTCTGGCCAGGCCGCCAGGAGAGAACCTCATCTGGGCAGGAGAAGGACACACATGGCCTTCTAGTTTGGGGGCAGACACAGAGAAGGAACTGGACTGTGTCCTGCTGCCGGCGATTCCACGTCGGCACATCCACACCCAGCCAGGCAGCTTGGGTTTCAATAGATCTTTGCCTAAATTCATGCACTTTCTCATTTTCAAGGAGAATCCACAGACACTCACTGACCACCTCTTCTGTGCTCAGCGCTGGGTTGGAGCAGGGGCCCTGAGGACAAGGTGGCAAGTGACGGTGACTGGACATGAGCTATGCGAGGTGTCTCCTCTCTGCCTGCCTCTGCTCGAGCGCCCTGGGCTTTCCGCTGCAGGCCCCTGGTGCTCTCTCCGCTTCACTAGGAAGCCAGTCACCTCCCTGGTAAGTGAGGCGCAGGAAGCCGCTTCACTAGGAAGCCAGTCACCTCCCCGGTAAGTGAGGCGCAGGAAGCTTGCTTCTTCCAAGCCCCCGGCAATTCCCGAGGGTGGTGGTGTGAGCCCAGGGGTGTGGGGGAAGGGAGGCCCTGGGGAAGGTAGCAATCTGGGTCTCTGCTAGGGACACGGGGACACTCCAGCTGAGCAGCCCACCATGGACACGTGTCTCCCCACACCAGGCTCAAGGTGGGGTGCTTCCAGCCCACCACAGTCTGGTGAATACAGCTACCGACACTCTGCTGGCCCAGGGGCTCCGTGTCCCTTTGTGTCCCCTTGGGCCCAAAAAAGACTGGTTGTGTCCTGGCCGCCCTGCCCTGGCCTTCCAGCCTTCCTCTAGCTGGGCGTCCAGAGAAGCACCCGGAGCCTGACAATCCTCCTTTGCTCTAAGAAGGCTTGGACGTTATCATTCTCCCCGTGGGTGTTCTAGCCACACTCCTGTCTTGTCACCTGCCACTCCCCACCAGGAATATCCACCTCACTGTGCACCCCCCACCCCGTCTCTTCCTTTTCTGAGACTCTTGCTCTCACTCGTCTTGGTAAGTAGCTTCTTGTCGCTTTTCCGGCCACCCTGGTGAGGCTCATCTCACTGCCGAGAGGCGGGCGGCGCTGCTGTTTCCCAAACAACAAGCCTTGGGGAGTCTCATCGTCCTTTACCACCCCCATGGCAGCCAGAACGGTCAGGAGCCACCCATGGCAGCCTCCAGTGGTGGCCTCTTGGGCTGCCCATTTCTGTGGTTACTGAGTGTCTCACTTTTGTCACCACCATCACCCTGCCTTACAAAGGGCTCCCTGTGCCAGTCAGTATCCTCAGTATAAGCCGCAGGAACCAAACAGAACTGAGCTGAGAAGAAAAGAGGTTCACTCAAAGGCCAGCACAGCTGGGAGTCAGGCCCAGGGTATCCCTCAGTACAAAGCCCCAAACAAGGCCACGGTGGCTGGGGCCACAGCACTGCTGCACCTGTAACAGGGAGCAGCCTCACTTATAATACTTCCCACACTTATAATACTTCAGCCAGGCCCCAGCCCTGCTCTGCTGCCAGGGGGAGCGCTGCACAGACCACAACCCAGGGTCTGAGCAGCCCCACCCAGTGAAGCTCAGGTGGTGGGCCCAGGCCCTGGCCCTCATGGAAGCAAGGAGGCATTTTCAGCTTTTAGGCTGGGAGCCAGGGCAGGGACCCAGCAGCCCTCTGTCTGTGTTCTGTGTTCTGTGTTCTGTGTTCAGGGCCTATAACCGGGATAGGGCCTCCCAGGGTCCCCCACTGGCGAGAGAAGCCACAGCAGGTATTAGCAGAAATTGAGGCTTGCAGGACAAGTCTAGAGACAGATGGCTTTGGGGAAATGAGGTGGTCAGGTAAGAGGATAGGGTGAGATCAGAGCTGGGGTGCCACAAAAGGTTGGGGGGGAGAGGCAGCAGAGAGGAGAGCTGATGGGGAGGGCCCTCATGGTAGGGACCTCAGGAGCCTTCCATCCCAACCGTCTCTCCAGGGCCCTAACCATGGCCTCTGAGGAAATTCCTCAGAACGGGGCCAGACCGACCAGACACAGAGAGAAGGGAGCAGCACCTTGACAAGGGCACCCGGGGACCGAGCCTGACACCCGCGCACACCTGATACAGTTTCGGGGCTGGGAGGCGGCAGGCGCCCGTAAGTGGCACCCAAATTGTACACAGTGATGGAAATACTTTAAAAGGGGAACATCCGCGGCCTCTCTCCCACCTAATTTCTCGCACACATTTATGTGATTAATTTCAGTTTCTTAAAATCTAACACCTTGAAACTCGAGCCCTGCTCATGAGTAATTATTTATAAACAGTGTCATAAAAGGCTGCTTGACTGCCAAGAGTAATCAACTTCTCCCAACCACTTCAAAGGAAATCAAAAAACCTTTCCATCCACAGATCCTTTTGAGGTTTAACTAGGAGCATGATTTAAAATTCACAAGAAAACCCTTAGGTATTGGAGCTCTAATACACAGCTTTCTTGGACAAACGTTTGATAAAAAACGAAACATACCATTATATACACCATTGCCTGCTTTAATATTGCCCAGGGCTACTGTAAATGCTCACTTTGTACTAAATCAGCTTCCCTGGCGGCGAAGGGCTCCCTCTGCTCTCCTGTGCACACTCGCCGAGGGGGCGTCTGGGGTCTTCTCTCCCTCTACGTCGGTCTCTGGCCTGTCGCCGTGTCTTGCTGTCCACCCCATGCCCACCAAGCAGCAGCGGGCTCGAGGTCCCCGGTCACTGGTGGCTGGAGGGAGACACAACCACCTGCCCCTCTTGCCCGGGGGGCAGGGCGGGCTTGTGCAGGCCCCTCCCTAGCTTCT